CGGAACGTCCTTAGAAATCACGAAAAATAGACACGAAGTGTTCGCAAAAATCTTATAATAAGATCCAGAATATGTCAAAATGTCCTGAAAAATATCGCAAAGAATTCAAAAATGTCCCGGAAAGTAAAAAGCAATTCAATTTCGAGCAGTCAAAACAAATCCTGAAAAAATTTCGAGAAGTCACAAGAAAGTAGTACATACCTCCAAAAATGTTCGGAAAGATTTAGAAAACCCGAAAAATATAACAAAATATTCAGGAAAGTGCCAAAAAATTAAACACAAACAATTCTTAAAGATCGCGAAAATATGAATAGTCGCAATAAATTCTGAGAAAATTACGTAAAGTTCTGAGAAATAATACTGAACGGTTATCAAGAGATCCCGCGAAGCGCTTTTTGCTCAAAGTAATGAAAATAAAGTTTTTTAAGTAATAAAATAAGTAATATTCTACAAAACATGAGAGCATTCGAATGGGTTTTCGAAATCATTGCACACATATTTTTTTCATTTTGTCCTTCTTGCTTAAAAACTTCCTAGTCACTTTACTTAACAGTCTTTGTGGATCACTAAGTCTTTGATTTCGATCGACCTATTCATTGGTTCATGGTCGGCCATCAATATTCCAGCCTACGAAAGAACTTCGATCTCGTGATCGAGAGGTGGTTTTGAACTACGATGGGCATCAGAGTCTTCTCGCTTGAAAGAAGAAGGTTAGGCCTTTCACGGGGTCAACCGGAATGAAGCACAAATCGTTAAAACTCGCCACTCTTCTATAAATGGGTTTCTGTGGCCCTATTTGAGCCGACCAGAGCTTACTTGTGACAATATAACGGAAATTTCAAATTGAATATTATTGATGGCGTACCCTAATAGTAACATTTGTAACTCGTGCCTTCAGCAATCCACATTTACTGTGCCATCTTTGGCTTCGTGGTTTCATCGTCATAAGTGTAACAAACTCAAAATCAATGGGTCGCGTAACTTTGCCATTACCATTCGCAACTCGTCACATTCGTTTCGTCAATTCGTTTTTTTACTATTTTTATTTGCCTAAATGTAATTCTGCGGCTGATTCCCTGCATCGACATCAACGTCATCATCAGCATCGTCGTCTCGATGTCAATGTAATCTGCAATCCCATTTGCTAGCGAAATGGGGGAAAAGTAAGAGATGTATGCAAAGAAGCCTAACGGTGCTGGAGCGAGAAAACTCAGGAAGCTGCATACACAAAGGGCAACGTAGCAACTTTAACTGTTTCATATGGCTTTGCAATTTCTCAACCATAGTAATTACATCTTCTCGGTTACAGTTTAATGTCGCCCTCATCTATATCGGCCAACATCAACCACTCATTTGCAAAATATTTTTCTTGCTTTTGTTTTGTCCTCGTCTACATTTCTAGAAGTGAGTGAGTATCCTTTCCTTTAATTTTCTGTTTGTTTTTTGGTTTTGATATACTTTGCCTGCTTTCCGAGATGCATCCTGCGAATGAGGCAGTCATACTGCAGCACAGCGCAGCGCCTTTATTGAGTTTGTTCCTTGCAATTTCCTGTTTGCTCGTGCGGCTTTTAGGCCATTTGCGCGCTGGCTGTGTTTAGCTTGGGGGTTGCGGGCAGTAAAATTGCATGTAAGATTTGCAAAGGATGCACTTGAACCCATTGTGGTTTGTATGTGTCACCATCAACTGTGTGCGATGAGTCTTTATATCAATTTTCTACTACTCCATATCCCCTTCTCCCATCATCACTGCCATATACCCATCCGGGCATTTTTCCAATCCACCAACCACCAACCAAAGCACCCAGAGCAACCAAAGACAAACCACGGCAATCCCGTCAACTGTTTGTTTGGTTTGAAAAGGTCTTTCTGGAGCAGCTGTAACAGCGTAGCTGTTAAGATTATAAAGAAGTTGGCAAAATTGCTGGAAAGGGAATTTGTAAAGAACGAAAAAGGTAAACTGCCTTAGTCACAGAAGGAGAGGGCTTTAGAATGCTTGTAGCAGGAGCGACAGAAACGTAAAAGCATATAAAGGGGTTTCAAACAAAACAGTTAAAATGTAGGAAGAAAATAAAAATAAAATTCTATAGAATAAAAAGATTTAAGAAATCCAGCAGCACACTTAGTCAAATACGTACCTATGTATATACGTATGTAGGTGGGTGGCTAGCTGGTTTGCAGTAAGAAAACCAACGACGCTACTTGCCCCTTAAGCATTTAGCCATAACCAGCTCATTCTTCGGTGCGCACTCAAGAGATTGAAATGTCGGCGCCCGGCATTGGTGTTTGGTTACTTTTCTTATCTGCAGTTTGCATCCGCAATCATCGCATTTAACGTTAATTTCTTGTGGACATAAATACAATCTAAGAATGATACAAATTTGATCTGTAATTTGCCAGCTTGATAATATTCACACCCAACCCAGGGGGAAACACGCACACTGTAATACATACATTCACAGCCATTTGTGCTACAACTCGTCTACTATTTTTTATACTTAACTTTACTTTTATTCCGCTAAATGCATATTTATCTAATTTCTACTTTTTCCATTCTCCTCTGCAGATGCTTCCAACTACTTTGACACTCAAGGGCCTAATTTCTCGCATGAACCGCCATCGCGTATTGAATTCACCAACAACGCTGGCAGCATTGCCGATTGTATAGCGCATGGCAATCCGCCACCGAATGTCGAATGGCTGGACAAGGATAATAATCCCATCACCTCAATATCAAAGGTAAAATTTCAATGGAGTTAGAGACAAACTTTAAGCAGCGACACAGGCAGGATGTGTCATGAGAAGAAGCGAGAGACGAAAAACGAAAAAATAGTTTACCCTCTTTTTTCATGTATTTTATTTTATTTTTGCTTTAGTTATAAAAGTTTACGTAAAGGATCTTTTTAAAAGCTATTAACGACATTCACGCAAAATTGAAAAAACTGAATGAACATGTTACATGTTCGAACGGCTTTGAACTTTTGTGGGTTGAGTTTTAGATATGAAGGCGTATAAGAATTTTACCATATCATTCGGCAGCAAAATGTTTGCTATACTTCATCAATAGACTATCTATTCAATAGATTTATTTTGAAAGACAATGTTGTAGCATGTATTTTAGAGTCTTATGACTAATAAATACGAGGTCAGTTTGTTAAGTTGATAACTTTTCCAATCTTCCGTGTAATTGGTTGCATATGTCCATTAAGATGCCCAGAAGCGAAAGTCCTCATACCTACCAATTCATGTCTTTAAACCATCTGGATTTTTTTTTGCTTATAGCAGACCATCAAGTTAGTTTTTTCTAGGCCAACTTAGCTGTCGAAGAGGTGTTCTGGCAGAAATCTGTGACATTGTCACGGTTGTGCGGGGCACTTGCTAAATTAGGAAATTTTGGATGGATTCTTTTCTTTTTTATTTTCAAAATTTCTACAGAAATCATTATGTGATGGTATAGACCTGGCATCCTTATAGCCAATGGTCCGGTGTCCCATTAGTATTTCTGTTAGAATCCTGACGGTGACGCTAGATGCTATGGCTATGTTCTCAACTTGGAAAGACAGGAATTACATGGGATGTTTTATCGGCTGAACCGTTTCTGTTAATTTTATCTGAGATCCCTAACTAGCTCGCTCGTTCCGTCTTCATTTCCGAGAATACCATCTAGTTCTGAGACCGGGCAAAGACTGATTGATTGAAAAGCTTGTAGAGGTGTTCGTTAATCCTGAACGCATATCGTTTTCGACCCTAAGACAGTTATGGACATTGTTAATCACTTTTCGAGACTGCATAGTTGCTTGGTTCTCTCTATGCAATAGTGGTCAACCGTCTGTTTGATAGCTCTGTGTAGGGAATGATAGATGGGCGCGAATCCGGTTGGGTTACTGTCGAAGTGTTTTTCCTGGCCGAGGTGAGGGCACAGGGAGATGTACTCACAGAAAAAATAATACTTTTCTACAAGATGTGTATTATCTCTTCTAGCAGCAGCGCCAGCAGTTATACTGCTCAATCTGTCTAGTGCACGTTGACAAGTTCACCTCTCCTTGGGGTTCTATTGAACAAAGCCAAAATTGGAGTTCTGTTTAACTCGTTGCACCATTTTGCTGATTTCGGTATGCCCTGAGCTTTTAGAGTTAATGGTGTTGCATCGACTAACCGATGATGAACCTGCTCCATTAGAACATTTTGAGGCCATCCCCCTGGCTTTAAAAGCTGTCGGACAGACCACCGCTGTGCCGTCTCGCTCCAGGAGTAATGATTTCCTGATGTAATCCCGATTCCACGATTGGACTAGTTGAAACTGTGATATAGTGCCTATTGTAGTTTAATTAGGAAATAGTCAGACGTGACCGGAAAAGCGGTAAGACATACCCTTACTATCGTTAAGGACACCATGGGAAAGCCCAAGGCACTTTTAGCCGCTCGGCTATTAGTGTCATTCTCGACGTCACACAGTTATGCATCCAATCGACCACTTTCAAAGCCTTAATTTGAGCTTGATGGAAATTTCGCTACAAAAGGCCTTCCCTCTTCTTCCCTGCTTCCGTTCGAATGCTGGCTCCCATCCGATCATACTAGAGAAACAGCAAATTAGTGCCAATCCAGCCGCACAATGATCAATGCGAATATGCGAAAGCGAAGCTTTCAAAAAAAGTGAAGCGTAAGTTTGTTGAAGCATTTTATGGAAAGGGCGCCAGAAAACAATTCGGCGTTATTACAATAGTACTGATTCCTGAAGAGGATTTTAAAGGTTCCATTGAAGTTATCGGCGTCTACATTTTATTTGAGAAGGTACTACCTCAGCCTGGAAGACACTAAAGTAGTCCGGTAATCGAAATGAACAGCTCATGGCAGGGCAGCTGGAGAATAACCCCCTCCCATTCCACCGTTAATTTTTGAACCATCTATGAAAATTGCTAATTGCTGTTATTTTCATGACGAGGTTTCTGTCCAGAGCCAGAGCTTCAACCCAACGGCCTGCATAGCCCGGAAGAAAGCTATATTTCTCCAGAATGCAGGAGTGACCCAGAAATCCCGATTCCCACTGCTCTGTCTCTCATAACCGGAGTGCAGCAAGAGATGCCATCAGCTGACCCACTAGATTTAGTGGCAGAAGATCCAAAAATTCATTTAAAGCATCAACTGGCGTTGTCCGGATTGCTCCGCTAATGCAGATCATACTAATCCTCTGTACTTTTTTGAGCGGCCAACATAAAGTAGAATCAGTCTAACCACCGCTGTTTAGATCCAGCGGCATATACTCGAACTCAAAATCCAAATCCCACTTTTTAATTGATTACATTGGATTTCATCGAATTATAAGTCCCCACATCGTTTTAGGCAATACAAAATTTTAGTTAGATGTGGCTTTTTTGCATTTCAGCGACGATGTTATGTACTAACGATATACTTTATTGAATTAACTTCCTAGTAAGTGTATTTGTAGTGGTACGGAACTTACTCGAAATGAGCCTCGACAAGCTTTCTCCTATAAATAAATAATTAAAATTACTTTAAACTTTAAGTACACTTTAATACCAGTAGAATGACAGCCTAGCATTGCATGCGCTAGAACAAAACATTGTGGCAGGCCCTTCAAGATAGCTCTAAACTCGAAACAAGAGCAGCACAACCGACGCCCACAATGCACAGTTCTCATATACGTACATACATACATATGTATGTACTTATAGATATTTTAACTACAAAAAGCGAAACAAATGCCACAACCATAGAAAATCAAACACAAAAGCAGCAAAATGACAATAAAAGCAACAATCATTTACGGCTGACCTGCAGCAAGCAGCGACTGAGTCAGTTTCGAACAAATTCAATCAATAACCACTTGAACCAAACTTCCGCCATTGGTGTCTGCCTCGCCGGGTCGCTAGCTGGCTGTCTGGTCCGTGTTATTTCGATATTATAGCAGCAACGAAGGAACGAATGAAGGAGGGCAAAAGGAAGAATGGGCAGCATGAGAAGGTAAAGCACGATAGAAGTAGACGCAAGGCAGACGATTGGGGCATTCAGCTACCAGCTCTAGACAAATGTAGGGTGTTGTTGGTCAGGAAGATTAACGGACGGTCAGACAATGTAGCAACTTCGCATTTTATTTCATGGCTTAGCGTCGAGTACAATGCAGCGTCGTGCACAATGTAAAGTCAACGCTCCAAGTGCAGCAAACGATGGAGCAACAACAACGCGCCAAGTAACGGGCAATGTACCAAAAAGTAGCACCGGCCGTTTCGCTGTTTTGTGAGAGGCGCTGAGGGTATCTATGCGTCTGTGTAAATGTATAAATGTTCGTACCGATATCTTTTTGGTAGTAGGAAAATTTCATTGTTTCCCACCTCTGTCGCCGGTTTGGTGGGTTGCTCTTTGACGACTGTCATTTATTTCCGAATCGCTGTATGTTTGGTGCCAATAGCTTTTGTTAGTCGATTGTGGTTCGAATCACTCAAGTATTCTGTAACTGCTCGTCATGGGTGTTATATAATAAATTTTTAATACCATCACTATGCAATCCTTTTTGTTTTGTAAAACTTAAAATTCTTTTTCTTAATTAAAAACCACCGCTCTTCTCAAATATTTTTTTTTTCAATTGCTTTTTGTTATATTTATTTTGTTTTACCTTCGCTCTCTTAAGTTAATATCAACTTTTTTCACTGCTTCATTTCTTAACAGGTCCGTCACATACTCGCCAATGGTTCGCTATATTTCCCACCATTCGAAGCGGAAGAGTTCCGGCAAGATGTACATTGGTCAGTGTATCATTGTGTGGCCAGTAATGCTGT